ATTATCTAATGACTTATATGGGTGACCGTGGCAGAGAAATATTTGAAACATTAGACTGGGCGCCAAGTGTAGCAGGCCAAGACAATCAGCCAGCCACACCAGCTGAAAACGAAACATTGACAGGCGTTTTCGATAGATTCGAACGATATGTTAGGCCGAAAAAGAACGTCATAAAAGCAACCGTAGAATTTCACGGCCGAGCACAAAGAGAAGGTGAGCCCTTCAATAAATTCTTAACGGATTTACGAGTCCTCGTAAAGCGTTGTGAATACGACGACGAGGATAGAATGCTTAGGGATGCCATAGTAGTCAAGACTAAAGAGCATAAAGTAAGAGAAAAATGTCTAGACGCAGGGGACGAGTTGACACTCGAAAAAGCGATTAGCATTGCCCTTAATTACGAGACCTCCCAGGAAAGTCTCAAAGTCATGGGAGGAGGCGAAGCACATGTGCACAAAATAAAGCATGTGAACAAGACTCACAAAAATAAAACAGCGCCCCCAACTTACAAAGGGAATAAACGAGACTCGTCTACAACAAAATGTAATAGGTGTGGATACAGTGCAAACCATGAGCAGTGCCCTGCAATGGGACGTACATGTAGCAAGTGTGATAAGCCTAATCATTTCGCAGCTGTTTGTAAAACTAAACTGATAAAATCAACAAAACCTAAGCAGCGTGCAGTGAGACAAATCACACATTCTTCATCAGATGAAGAAAATGAATACACAATTGGTGCAGTCACAGCCAGCATAAATTCATCTGCAGTCTATGCGCGTATGACATTGGAAGGACGACCTATTGACCTTCAGTTGGATAATGGTGCTGAAGTGAACATTATTCCTAAGAACTATTTACCTAAAAAGCCTGATAATACCGTGTTGAAAATGTGGAATATGGCAAAGGTAAATGTAATTGGCAAAGTCCATGTTAAGCTGAGAAACCCCAAAAATAAGAATAAATATTGGGTAGACTTTAAAGTAGTAGATCAAGCTGACCTCCAACCGATACTAGGTTGTAATGCATGTAAACTGTCTCTTATACACATCTAGATGTGTATAAGAGCTAGGTTGTAATGCATGTAAATACATGAATTTAATCACCATCAATGAACATGAGTTCAAGAAAATTTCTCAAATAGGGAAAGCAAATGTGGAGTGTAAATATAAGGATGTATCTAATGGTGACTTAGGAGGTTTGCCAGGGGAAACAACCCTGTACATTGATGAAAGTATTGAACCTACAGTACTTCCAGCTAGGAGAATCCCTCACTCGATTAAACAACAGGTGAAATCAGAGTTAATTAAGATGGAACAAAGAGGGGTGATTGAAAAAGTAGTACCAGACCACCCAACACAATGGGTGAGTCAAATGGTTGTTGCTACTAAGTCTGACGATAGATTAA